TGTGTGTGTGTTTGATTCTGAAGAATCAAAGCCAGAGAACAGAGATAATTCTATTAGCTGCATCTGGATAGCACTTGGCCTCCTTTCCTAGCAGGGAAGGACCTGAAGTCAATGGCAGAGCTTGTTCGTGGTGTAGCCAAGTGTCTCTGCAGCATTTTTGATGCTAGAGCATTGGTTCTGAGAATTTTAGTATAGCACCTAATTTTTTTATCTTTACAGGAACTTGCAAATGTGGATGTTGAATGAGGGGTATTGATCAGAGGAGAAAAGTTATTGTTTTGGAGAAGCGGAAAGTCTAAAGTCTTGTTAGAATGAGTGGAATGAGGGCACTTAAGACTTCAAGGAGAGACAGCAAAAGCAGGGGTAGGGGGTGGGGTGATGGCTCAGAGGTAGAGCACTCACCTCACATGTGCAAGGCCCTGGGTTCAATCCTCAGCACCACATAAATAAATAAATAAATAAAGTTATTAAAAAGAAAAGCAGGGGTGAGGGTGGATATACAACAAACCTCAGAGATGTTCCTTCCATGTCAGGAGGTAGCAGGACACTGGAGCAATGCCTCTGCATCCACTGCTCAGTTCCATCTTGGGGGCAGACCCAGCACTGCAAGCTGATGAGGAACAGGACATAGGAAAGCCATGTTTACTCCAGATGACACAACTGAGCCTCTGGGTCATCCCAGAGGATGGGAGGAGGCAGATGCAAGCCAGGCCTGGAGGAACCCATGGAGTACCCTCAGGTGACCAACAGCCAGTTCAAAACTCTATTGTTCCTTAGAAAACTTGGAATGGAACCACCATTTGGCCCAGCTACCCCACTCCTCGGTCTATACCCAAAGGACTTAATATCAGCATACTGTAGTAATGCAGCCACACCAATGTTTATACCAACTCAATTCACTATAGCTAAACTGTGGAAGCAACCTAGATGTTATGCTGTGGATACAAAAATATTATCCTATATAAACACAATGGACTAATGCTCAGCATTAAAAGAAAATATAATGATAGCATTTGCATGTAAATGGATGGAGTTGGAGACTATCATGCTAAGTGAAGTAAGCCAATCCTATAAACCCAGAGGCTCAATGTTCTCTCTTAAGAACTGGATGCTGATCCAAAATGGGGGGAATGTGAGAAATGGAGAAATTTTGACCAAATGGGAGGGAGGAGAGGGGAGGACGTATAGGGCAGGAAAGATAGTGGAATGAGATGGACATTATTCCCCCAGGTACATGGATGAGTAACATAGGGTGCAATGCTACATGGTGTCCAATTAGGTAAATGAAAAGTTGTGTTGCAATAGTGTGCAGTGAATCCAAATGCATTCTGCTGACACTATACTGAATTTTAAAAATCAATTAACAAAAAACCCCTATGGTAAGAAAGCTTCCAGTCCTGGAGCCCAAAGAGTACCAGGGGCCTGTGGGATAAGAAAGGGAAGCAAGACAGAACGACATGTGCCTGTGACCTTACTCATGGGGAATGGAATACAGTCACATATTAGAGGTAGAAAAATGGTTGTGAGCGATATTTTCCTAATGACTATTAAGGCAGATGGCAATTGGTTGTTGGCGTCCTGACCCACGGCAGTCATTTTACAAGCAATGCCCATCCAGCGCTCTGTGTGGGCCTTGCTCTGGGCCACCACTCTCCCTGCCTGGCCTATGTGACAGAGTCCCCTTGCAAGCAAGAGGAGTGACAGGCGCCTTTTCAGGGGCTCTGTCCTCCTGGGCAGCAGTCCCATCCCCCTGGCTGAGGAGCATTTCCCATGGGAAAGCCCAGCATCCAGGGCCACGTCCACTGGGTCCACGCCTAGAGGGGCAGCCACAGGCCTCACATCTAGGAAACTGGGGACAGGTGAGGAGGCTAGTTAGTTGCTGTCTCACGTTAGGTCAGCAGCCTATCTGACACCAGGCAGTTGGGGCGCCCAGGGCCCCGCCCTCAGCCTGCAGAGTTGGTCACGGAAGTGCGGTGGGGCCGTCGCCAGGGAGACGGGGGCGGGGCCTGTGCCAGGGCGGGAACTTTGAGCCTGGTCTCGGGGAGCTCCGAG